TTTTTTTTTTGCAAAAGATAATAGTTTATTGCTGAAGAGTTCCAAGAAGATGGCAGAGATTTTGTTTACTACAAAATTAAAAAAAAGCTTACAGTCCGGATTCATTCCCACTTGAAGACATCGTCGAAACCTACAGTAGCGGCAACTGTTTCGTTCATCTAAATTGACCTAATGAAATTATTGTTTACTTTCTTAGGCTGAATTTCTTCACAAAATTATGAGCGTTGTTTGTTTGTTATAAATGAAGCAAAGGTTTTATTGAGTTACACTGGTAAAAACTAAATTTGCAAATTTGTAGATTAAGAATTTAACAGGTTGGACAAAAAAAAGCAGAGAGAGAAAAAAAGAAGAAAAAAACGAGAGTCTGTCAAAACTGTAAGTTACAAAAGCTATAGCATGCATTTTCTGCTAAACAAACTACTGGAATAGTGATTTTTTCAAAGAAGTAATAAAATTTATTTCCAGTGACCTGTAAAAAAATAACAACAAATTGCAAAATAGGAAACAATTTTAGAAACAAATTTTTAGCCTTAATTATAGCTTACATTTATCAACTTTACACTTCTTGTCATAACGACAAACGTATTTGTTTTGACCATCTTTTACAGCACGTCTAAAGAAGCCTTTGCATCCAAAACATGCCAATACACCGTAATGAACTTTGGCTGGAGAATCACCGCATACAGCACACTGTCGTGAAATTCCACTACGACCATTGTCAGCAGCATTTTCGGAGTGTTCGGCAAACATCATCTGACTGTCTTCGTCCACGTCAATATCCATTGCTGGACGATAAAACTTCAAGAGTGAACTTAAGTGTTAATCTAGCAACATCAGGATTTTACATGTAGACAGAATTATATCTAACGTATTGTCAATGCTATTGGAAACGGCTTGTAGATTAATACTACAAAGTGCAGATTTTCAGTTGTATGTTATAATTCAAATGAACAAAAAAAAGGTAGCAATAATTAAAAATTAAAAAATAACCTAAAATTATTTTAAAAAAATTTATACTTCGATATTCAGAAGCAACCGTAACAGATTATTCATTTACATAAAAAATTCTTATAAATCTTTGAATAGCAATCTTTAATGGTGACATAAAGTATAACCGCTCAAATGACTATTTGTTGAATCCCCTTTCTTTCACCCCTCTCTCTCGTACAGACACGCCAAAATACACTTGCAACAGTCTTAAGTCTAAAAAAGTTTTTTCATCTAGCAAACTTTGTTTGAAAATAAACAAAAATCAACAATTGACGATCAGAAATTTTATCGACAACAGAAAAAAAAAGCAGAAGAAAACTATGAAATCATTCAAGAAAGAAAAGATGTTTTTTTATTTAATATAAAAACTGTTTGTTTTGCAATCAAAGCGTTTTAAAGAGAGAGGTGAAAACTAAGTAAGAAAAAATAAGTTTGCGAAACATAAAAAGCAGCTATTAACGCTACCAAAAATAGAAAAAACCTCTTTTTTTTTAATGCTAAAACAACAGTAGTAGAAAAAAAAAAGATGAAATTAGCAGAAAAAAATTGACAA